AGTGCAAACACCCGTGGAGCGCACCAAGCCAAAGTCAACAGTTCAGGTTGGAAAGTGAGATGACTACGGCGCCACAGACCCAAAACAAACTTGCAGAAAAACAATCAGCATACAGGCATCACAGCCCATACCATCCGTGCGTTTTCGGCCACATGCATTACACAAAATTCAGGATCACAGATACTTCTTTGAAAGCGCTTATAGGCACAGGTGGGACGAGGTCTTTTGAAAGGTATGCTTTACTGTACTGGAGTAACCAGACCCGGTTAGGATCCTGCTTTCAGTTGGCTAGATGTGCAGGAAGTGCCGAGGGAAGAATACACCGCACACACATGAAAAGGTGCTCTGATCTGTTCCACAACAGGCACACAAGGTCTGACCTAGATTCCCCCTATCCTGAAAAAAGCTGCTCTGCCAAGTAAGGCAGGGTGGGAAGGGCTGAGCCGTGGCGCGTAGCTTTGCCCCATCTCTCTCTCTCTCTCTCTCTCTCTCTCTCTCTCTCTCTCAAACATGGGCGGAGTGTAGAGTGGCCTTTTCAAACTCACCCGGCTGGCAAGCAGACTGGCTTTTGGAAGCAAGCAATGCTGTTTTGAACCGCTGCCAAATGAGACAGCCTCTGCCGGCGCAGCTGAAACTTTTTACAGCCTCCCCTCATTTCGACAGGAAGAGACACAGGGAGCAAATTTGTAGGAAAGGGAAAGGAAAAAAAGGGCGAAATAAATCTTTGTAGCGTCTGCAACTAAGGCACTGCATCAAGGATTTCCTTCTGTGCTTTCACGCTCCCCAACTTTGGCAAGGTGCCATTCGAAAAGGTTTAAAAGTGATGTTTTTTTCTCTCTCTCTCTCTCTCTGCAGGGAGTATTGAACGGGGAACGGATGTGCTAGAAAGTGAAGAGTTCAGCGAGTTCAGTAAATGAGAAATATGTAAATGCATCAATAACAAAGGGACTGTGACGTCACGCACTGTGCTGCCCAGGACAGTGCCTGCGAGCAGACGGGACAAGCGTGCGCGCATCTGACAAGATGCCATCTGCGTACCATAAAGAGGATGCCTGTTTTACATCAGAACTTTCTTGCACAGGAAGATGACCATGTGAAGTCTGTTGCTGCAACGACTGACACGTTGTAGTAACTTCCTCTTTCATGGTAAGGACTTGACAAACTTTTAGTGATATGACTCCACTGCAAACTGCGATAACATCTCCAGTGCTTATTTTAATACCGTTTTGCCACTCTTGACTAAATGACTGCATGCAAAGTGCAACTTGGACGATGTCAAACACATGGCGAGTCATAAAACCAAATGAATCAGGCAAGTGGGATCAGCCAACTGTGGTGTTTTTCAAGGTTCTTTGAGGAAGTACTACGGACCACTCATGTCATGTTTTCCTGATAAAGAGATCCAAAACGCAGGCAGTGATAGAACAACCTCTGGATGTGTGTAATGATTAGCGAGGACTATAACTGGAAGGCTCAAACTACCTGGGACAGATGCCAAATGCTGACAAAGGCAATCATTGCATTCTCAGGGGCGAGCAAAATCAACTCTTCCTCCTCTCGCACTTCTTTTGGGAGGGTTATTTATATTCCTCGAGAAACCACCGAAAGCATTGACTAATTGCTGAAGGAGTCGGTCACATGTTTTGGCTAAAGGGCACACAAAAGAAATCATGTAAGTATTGACCAGTTCTGAATCTTTCTCGCCTCTTCTGTCGGGACCCGCTCAGCCGATCAAGTTTTTCCTTTAAATAATAAATTCTGACTGCTTAGTTTCCAGACGTCTGCTTGGAATAACTGTGACTGGGGCAGATGGGTACAAGCTGACTCTCTTGCATTCCCATAAATACAAGTTTGTCATGTTTTTGCATGCTAGTCTAGCAAAAGCTGTGCCTTTATGGCCACTCTGCTTTTTCTGCATGGCAAATCCTCTCTTCTTGATCTCTGCGTTCTTTTTCGTTTCTCAGTCCCTTTCTTTCTCCACCTCCTCTCTCCCTCTCTCAGCTTCTGTCTTTCACTTCGCATCCTGTGCCAAAGTGGGCAGGGAGAAAGAGCTCGTGGTGAGGCGGGTGAAGCGGAGGCCGCTGTACGTGCTCTTTCTTCAGCCACAACCCCATGGAAGAGCATGTTTGGTGGCAGCACATAGGTCTCTCTCCCCGAGATAGGCACCTCTTCTCGCCGCCATGACCCTGCCTTGTGTTCTTTGACGTTGAACCCTCTAGTCTGCAGGTATTCCATTCTTTCTTTTCCCCGCTTTCATACTTTGTAATATTCCACTGATTATTTAGTCCCTTTTTAAGCAATTCTCTCAAAGCATCATTGTCGATTATTCTACCCAGCTGCTCTGGCTCTCTTGTTCACTGTTGTCTTCCTCTTGTAAACGTGTCCATGCCTCGGATTCCGCCATTTCTACTCCGCTAAACGACTTTTGGACAAATGATTGTTGATGTCCTTTTGATAAATGTTTTTTGGTTCAATTCTTCTTCTTTTTTAAAAATGCATTTTGTTAAGAAGTTATTTAGCAATTTGGTTCACATTCCTTCGTATAACATGCATGTTCCCTTAGTTTTGGGTCGTTTTGGGCAGTTCATTTTGGGGTTTAAGTTTTTTTAAGGATTTTAATGATTTGAACAAACAAATGGTGTTTGGCTGCTGCCTTAATGCTTTTGGAAGGAAAATAACAGTGATATTTTTGGATATGATGGTAGTTATTCGTGGATGGCCTATAAAATGCCTCTTATGTCAAATATGTATTGTACATCCCTCACATTTCTGTACAACAATTACCTTTTATCTTTGTCGACTATATTACTGCCAGCTTTTTATTTTTATTCTATATCTCTCTACAAAAAAATACCCATATGGGCTTAGCTCTGGCATACAATTTGCATTTAAGAAAGCATAAGTAAAGTTATCTTGCATGTACAGTACAAGAGCATTCGGTTACTTGTTTGGCATCGGTATTGATATAATCAAATTACTTCTTTTTATATTCAGATGGTATTCTTTTAAAAGGTTGACTTGCTCTGTTTGTATTCGACTGCCTTTTTTCCTGTTGCATTTGCAGTGCAAATTAGATGAATGCCAAAATAAACCGAGTGGGGCTAGTTTTGGGAAAGACAATAATGAACCGTTTAGGAACTAATTGTATGTGTTAATGACCAAATGACATTTGTTATGCAGATAGGCAGAAGTAACTGATCAAACTGATTTAAATGTTAATCAGATATTACATACAGAAAACAACAAAAGGAGTGTCTAAGACTAATTTAATATTTGTTATAGTAAACTGATTAAGTTTCAGTTATTGAACGTAACATCTGAGGGTGGTTACAATCCATCGATGTGATACGTATGATCAACTATCTTGTTAATTTTTTGTTTATTTGTTATTTTTGTGAAATTCACATTAAATTCAAACCAAATTACACCATTAGACCACCGAAATTAAACATGCATCGATGATTTCAATCTGATTCACATCTTTTAAAAAAATTACAAAGAAAAGATTTCAAGATGGCGTCGACATGCCACGTGTTTGTGTACTGCTGTATTTTACGAGCGACTTTTTAATGCAGTCTCTTTAAAATAATAGAAAACCTTTTAAACAAATCCTTATTTAGAAGAATATCTGCTTTCAGCATGCAAACAAAAGTGGAAAAGCTGTGAAAATGGTGGTGTTAGGTTGAAATAACACATGATATGCTGATGTTTGTTGTTTTAGCTATAGAGCAAGGATTTTTCTTGGATCCTGTTCTTTTTAGTGCTTTATTATTCGTCAGCGGAAGGAACGAGGGCAGGTAATTTGCTGCTTTGTACAGTAAAGCAGAGAAGTTTATTTTGCTCAGAGACAGAGAGAGATGGCAACAGGAAAAAAAAAGTGGCGGGAGGGAGGGAGGAAAGGAGAGCACTTCCTCCACCCCCTGTTCTCCTCAGATGAACTTATCATGTAGCTTCATATTTTCTCTCCCTCCCCCCTCCCACACAGCCTCGCTCCCTCCTACATTTACTGTAGCTGACGATCAGATGCACCCTGGGCCCCGACCCCACATTAGCAAACAGGAAGTTTCAAAACAAACCGAGTTTAACCCTAAAAATGCTTACATTTCACTGCACACACAATCAGATCTACAACTTCATGCTAGAATAGACCGTATACAACACCGGTTTTGCCATCTCCAAGTATTTTGACTTCATATTTATGTGGAAGAATTGTTTATAACGAAAGTGTTCACGGCAGAAAATTCACTGCAGGTGAGAAAACACTGCTGTTCGCCTCCGAATGCACAGACACGCAGCATATGCTCGGAGCCTATTAGTTACACGGCCCCAGACGGGGGCAGAGATCTAAGTCTAATCTGCAAGGTCTTTCTATAAACAAGGCAAAGCAGAATCCTTATCGTTGAGTTTCGATGAGTAACAGCAGGCTCTCCGGAGACCGCGTGACAGAGTCAACCAAGGTCAAGCCAAGCCCAACTTCCTGTTTTTTGGGGGCCGCTATTTTTGCAATAAGGGCGTTTCTTTCTGGTGTAGGTTGATGACAGGGGATCATAAGCTGAACGATTAATGACATTTTCGAAGAGTTAAAGCTTTCAATGGCTTAACTCTTTTGAGCAGTGTGGAAGGAACAACTGAGGAAAACGTCACAGGTTCAGTAAACAGGAAGAAGTGCAGTTCAGGGTAATTCTGCGCTATTTATTGTGTACAATGATTCATACAAACACAAAATATGGCATATTTTGTGTTAAATAACTTGTACAACAGTTGTACTAAACGATAATATGCTAGATGTGGACTCACCAATGCTGGGAATTGTGATCAGCTGTACAAACAAAAGAGATGAGAAGATAGCGACGACGGTCACTATTAATAGTAAAAAATGAAAAACATCTATTGTTTGTTCATAGCGTATCTTGCATTTTCTTTCTTGTCTTTTCTGAGACATCTTTTTGTTTTTACGAAGGCAAATTTTGAAAATTTGAAGAAAAAAATGTGGAAGCCGAAGTGATTTTCAACGGGGAAGCTCCCCTCCTATGTTAAATTAATGCTGCACAAAGGCATTGTCTCAAGTTCCGTATTTTTTTCTTGTAATTGTGGCCTCTTAGTCTTCCTCTGCCAACATCCCCCACCCTTCAACGCTCTACCCATCACCCTCTTCTCCGTTCATTGAAATTCAGCCTGGCATACAGGCACTGCCCCTTTCTTGGCACCAGACTCAGGGACTCGGCGACAGAGAGGAGGGGAGAAAATTAAAATGAAAACATAAATATGTACCAATTTCTCAGTGAGCTTGTGCCAAAACGTTTAGCCAGTTTCATTGGATCTAGCACAAGATTATCGATAGCCATTTTCGGTGTACAATTTGAGCAAGTATAACCGCATATGGTCTTGGCAGCCATAACGCAGTGGGAGGCGTTCAGAAGGCTAATTGATTTGCCTGTTTACCTCCTGCGATTGGACGGGCAAAAGGGTTTACGGCTGTGTCCTTTGATCGCTAGGTAAGATGGAAGGCCTTTTGTTGATCTGATTTCATTTGTTTACCTCTTTTCTGAGTTGCAAAACAGGGAAGCAAGATGTTCCTTTTGTGACTAAAAAAAATGCTTGGTATATGATTATGCCAAGAGGTGGTACGGTGTGTAAACAAATGCAGGCAATTAAAAATGGCAGCCTTTTATCGAGAGACGCAGAGAGGCGTTAGCTGTTATAGTACTTTGAGAAACAGGTTGTGTCATGTATGACGGAGTGTGACATGGCAGAGATTATTTTAACAACTGCAATAATAATGTCTCTGTGATGTTTTTCATATATTGGAGACGCAGGCTCTGTTCCAAAACCTATTGAGCCGCCTACGTAGGGAGCGTTTTAAGGCATCATAGGTGCACTCCCGACTTGAACGCGGTTCCAAAAGGTAAGATACTTCGCTTTAGCCAAAATGTAAGGCATTGCATGTATCGCAATCCCAAAATGCACTGAAAGCTCAGTGAAAATATCAAACCAAGATGGCGAGGGAAACTTTGATTAGAAATAAATGTCATTATATAACAAAATGTCTGGGAAAAAAAGTCTAATTTTAAAGGTATTTTAATCTGTATAAGAGTAGTATGGAATTAGCTTAGCAACATGCTAACAACAAACTCGACTGAAATCAAATGCATTCGAGTCTTACTCTTCCATATTTTTATGATCCACAGAGTTGCTGCCTTCCACAGTATTCACTAGTGTGATCTATAATAATTATGATGCTGCCTATGATGTAGACTGCAAAGCAGTTCACTAGGTTTTTGAAAAACATTATTTAATTTGTAAAGGGCATCTGTACACTCTCTTAATTCAGATAAAGATGCTTAATACATAAATGTATAATACACTGTGCGTCTCTCAGAAAAACGCTTCTAGCATGTTTTCACACGATGCCACAACAGTTATTAACTTATTTTGGTTGCTAATCTGGATCCCCATAATATGTAGGCTACAGAGTAAAGCTGATTTAAAATGAATAAACATGTTGAATTAATAACATAAGACACAAATGCCTGCAATGCTATAAAGTATTACATGCAGATTTGTTAGTGCTATAAGTTGCTTGTCCTAACACTGTGACTTTGTGCATTCTGTTTAAGAGGCTTGCTGTTTAAAAGTTAAGCATTTGCTTTGTCTCTAAAACTAATCAATAACCTCATTTGAATGCCATTATTTAATCTAGTTTTGTAAGAGACTTATAGTAAAATTGTTAGCGTTAAGCTCTTATGTTATGTTATTGTCATGTAATTTTAGTAACAGTGTTACTTTAGTATTATTTATATAACAGTATTTTATTATTGTTTTTAATTTGCTTTTATTTTTATATATTCATTTTAGTTTTAATAATTGTAGTACTTCAACTTCAACTTATTTATTTCAGTTAGTTGTCAAGGCAATATTTCCTTTGTCCAGTTTCGCTTTTCATCTAGTATTTATTTATTTTACACTGTTTAGAAGACATGGGACAAACCTTATATTGTTTCTATACAGATGGAAATGATTACATTATCATTTATAAAATTACGATACTATGTTCCATTCGTTTTGAAATTAATGTGTTAGTTCAAAAATGAAAATTGTGTCATTACTTACTCGCCAACTCGCTGGTTGTTACAAACCAGTAAGACTTTCGTCCAAGCCTGTAAGACTTTCGTCCAAGCCCGTAAGACTTTCGTCCAAGCCCGTAAGACTTTCGTCCAAGCCAATAAGACTTTCGTCCATCATCAGAACACAAATGAAGATATATTTAATACAATTTCTGATCGATTTCTGTCATTGATTATGCCATTGACAGCTATTCAACTGCCACTACACGCTTTAAAAAGTTCATAAAGATATCGTAAAACTAATTCAGTGGTTTAGTCCAAATTTTCTGAAGACACTCGATTGCTTTATATGATGAAAAGATTAATTTAGGCTTTTATTCACATATAAACATTGATCAGCGAACAGAAACAGAAGCTCAACCGAACCTGGTTGATGCGCGAGAACCAACCTCTTGCTGAAGCTCAAAAGTGCTGCGTAACACGAGAATGAACCTCATTGGCTCTTGCTGAAGCTCAAACGTGCTGCGTAACACGAGAATGAACCTCATTGGTTCTTGCTGAAGCTCAAACGAGCTGCGTAACACGAGAATGAACCTCATTGGTTCTTGCAGAAGCTTAAACGTGCTGCGTAACATGAGAATGAACCTCATTGGTTCTTGCAGAAGCTCAAACGTGCTGCGTAACACGAGAATGAACCTCATTGGTTCTTGCTGAAGCTCAAACGTGCTGCGTAACACGAGAATGAACCTCATTGGTTCTTGATGAAGCTCAAACGAGCTGCGTAACACGAGAATGAACCTCATTGGTTCATGCTGAAGCTCAAACGTGCTGCGTAACTCGAGAATGAACCTCATTGGTTCTTGCTGAAGCTCAAACGTGCTGCGTAACACGAGAATGAACATCATTGGTTCTTGCTGAAGCTCAAACGTGCTGTGTAACACGAGAATGAACATCATTGGTTCTTGCTGAAGCTCAAACGTGCTGCGTAACACGAGAATGAACCTCATTGGTTCTTGATGAAGCTCAAACCTGCTGCGTAACACGAGAATGAACATCATTGGTTCTTGCTGAAGCTCAAACGTGCTGCGTAACATGAGAATGAACCTCATTGGTTCTTGCTGAAGCTCAAACGTGCTGCGTAACACGAGAATGAACCTCATTGGTTCTTGCTGAAGCTCAAACGTGGTGCGTAACACGAGAATGAACCTCATTGGTTCTTGCATCTTTTGCAGCGATTTTTGTGTGAGCAGAGCATATCAATGAACACCCCAGACCACTCGGTGAGTTTCACGTCTTTGTGCCAGCAGCATGTGTCCAAATTTCAATCTTAACTGTTCTATTTCATCAGAAACGATCTTAAAATAGGGCTTTAAGTGTACCGAACTTGTCCTTTAAGCTTCCGTTTACAACAACTGATGTGTGAGTTGATTAATGTTTATATGTAAATAAAAGCCTAAATTAAATCTGTTCATCATATAAAGCGATCGTGTCTCTTCTAAAACATTTGGACTAAACCACACATTCATACGGATTAGTTTTTCGATCTCTTTATGAATTTTTGAAGCATCAAAGTTGTAATCTTTATTTGTGTTCCGAAGATGAACGAAAGTCTTACTGGTTTGGAAAGACACGAGGGCGAGTAAATGATGACAGAATTAAATTTTCTGGGTTAACTGACCCTTTAATAGGATGACAATAGAACGAAATCAACTGTTATTTTATGTTCGCTTTTGTCTATGATCAGTTTGAGCTTCCGTACAGTATCAGTATTTCTTCTTTTGGAGAACAATTTGTGTTCATCTACTTAAGTGTAACTTTAGCAGGCAATTAAAGTCACATTCCAGTCACTTAGTGGAAATTCCCTACAATACTGTATAGTTGGGAAAAGTATGGTGATATTCATATTTACGTTTTGTGTCATTTTAATTTAGCTTTTGAACATTCTCTTTGTCCTTACGTGCTATGCAGAACAATCACATGCAGTTTTCATAAAAAATATGATTTTGTGGGCTCATTCATGCAAACTCTTTCCTGAAGTCATTGAATAAAAGTGTTGATAGACATATCCAACTGATAAAGCCATCAAAATGCTATATTTAAATATTGCTGCAATATCTATTTTATGGTATCTCATGATCCTCTTTTCAGTTCCACCCACACTGTCTACGCTGAAAGCAACAGATAATCTCTAATACTCTCTTAAATACCCATGTCGCAAAAATCAGGGCAGTTGTGTCTAATTTGCATTAGCATTACATATTTAAAAAATTGACTTAAGAGGACATTTACATATGAAAAAATCAAAGCGCCACTAAAATGGACTTAAATATCTGGCTAAGCACCAAAAGCACTGGTTAGTCCCCATCAAGGCGATTACCACACATTGGGGAACAGAAGGGCAGACTAGTTCCCTGTGTAATCTAAAAATCCAAATGTCACATCTGTCAGACCATATTAGCATTTTTCACGGGTGAGGCATCATACGTTGTGCTTTTTTCTGTTTTTTTTATTGTATCATAGTAAGACAATTGTGTGTTTTTATTGTTTGATAAAGCTGAAGTGTTTGTGAGCATTATAACCATGAAAAATGAATAAAGCACCTTCACTGATAAGGGATAAAGATAGTTAAGCTTGTGTTGTTGCACAGCTTATGACTGACCTGACCTTTACCGAAAGTTGGCACAGCAGTCATGACATGCCATCTCTCAGCTTCTGCCTCTTCTTTGTGTTCCAGCAGACAGCGTCGTGTGCCAAAACTTTTCAATCACTGTCCCCCCAAATGGGCCCAACAAAGAGCATGTGTATGCTAATTAGCTAAGGAGACTTTTGTATGTTAACAAATTGCTGAAAGTCAGTTTACTGGAAGAGATTTGCATGTATATTTATGCAAAAAAGACATGCTCCACCTATTACCGCCACACAATAACTGCTTTTATTTTTCAATTGTTTTTGCATGTCTAATTGATTGATCAAGGTTAGAAGTTCAAGAATCAGTGGATAATGAAAAAGAAATGTTGCACTTGACAACAACACTTTAACATTCACAAATTAGGAACTGATATAGTTGTGTGCTTACATGTTAGAATGCTGATGTTCAAAGATGTTTAGGTTTGTCACGCATGCTAACATGCTAATGGACATGATGTTTTGTTGTGCAATGAAAGAACAGTATTGATTCGAGGAGGAATCTGGACTTTCTAGTCGTTACACTGATGTCAGACGTCCCCCAGTGCATCGAGAGGGAGACCCTTACTCTTCCAAACAGCCTCTGAGAACAGTGGAAGTGTGAATGGGTTTTTCAGGCACACCTCACAGAGGTTGTAAGGAATGCACAGCACTCGCACTCTAAAATGGCCGAAACGTCGCCATTTTGTTTTCCCACTATTTTGCTGTGCGGAATAGCAGAATCAGATTTGTTAAAGCTACAGGAGACAGCTGGGGAAGCCATGTTTTACATCGTCTGTTTACTTCAAAAGCGTAGCTTACGCAATGTTGTCTTGTTGGAATGAGCTCAGATTTTGGCAAAACGGGCGCGAATTCCTGGCGAAGGATCAAGCCTTTTTTTTCTTCATGATCCAATGCCAGCCTCGCTAGAATGAGTGAGTAATTTAGCTTTGGCTTTCAAAATTAGCGCTTCCCTTTTAGCCTGCATCCTGGTTCAACTCCTCACAGTTCCCTGTTTTTTTATGTTTGATCGTTTTTCCGACTCAAATAAGCACCGCTGACTCGAGTCTGGAGAACACACATGCTGAGCTTTCGACTGCTGTTTTTCGGCAACTACATAGAAATAAGTAGCACTGTGATCTATGGCAGAACCATTCGGGTTATGTGACTGAATGACTGAAGTCAGACCGTTGAAGTCTTAACATAGTGTGATATTTTATTATTTAATGCAAGGTGTCAAAAAAAGTTCAATTTGTCATCAATCTAAGTGGCATCTGCAAACAAATGCTGCACAATCTTTTCTCAGAACTAACTTTGATTTTCTGAGCCATTTTTTTGCAATGACTTTTTACCAGCTGGTGTCAAGATGATTTGTATGATGTATGAAGTCAGTTCTCCTTAAGTTCACACAGCAGGTGTTGAGAATCACTTTAACTATGAACATGATGCACTAATGTTTGACAACCAGAAAGTGTTCAGATGCTCTTGCCGAAATTCCAACCATTGTAAAAAAAGAAGCACATTTAAGTACAGCATACTTAAAAAAAAGGAGGACTTATTACAGATATAATAATATAGTTAAGTGTGCACTGCTTGTAATGTTTTCAGACACTTAACTGCATGTTATTTACAATTTACATTTACAGTAGTACATCTGTATGTACATCTATTGTTTTTGAAATAAAGTTAAAGTTACTGCCGAATGTACTGACAAGCATTTATGGTAAACTAAAAAATACATTACTGACATTTCTATTGAAACTTTTGTGTCATGTATTTAAATATAATTGTAATTCCACATTTAAAATGATGAAGCTATTTATATGAACTTTAATGTAATATTTAATAAACCATAGTCATGATAGTGTACTCTCTCTAAATGCACTTAAGTGGCCTTTTTTTCATTAATATACGGTAATATTATCTGCAAGTACTGTTTTTAAAAATAAACTGTGAAGATTTGAAGTACACTACAAGGGCGCATTCAGCACAATTAAACAGAATTCTTTTTTTTTTTTGCCAGGGTAAATATACTTGCTCAAACTGTTACGTGGAGTCCAGCTACAGCAACAGTTTGACTGTATAGTTGTGCTAACCATCTCTCTCTCTCTCTCTCTCTCTCTCTCTCTCTCTCTCGACAGGAATGAATCCTGCGGTCTGCTGTCTGACTGGTCTGTTCTGCTGTCCTTGGGGCTGAGGTAGTAGATTGAATAGTTGTGGAGCACGGTGCTCTCTCACTGAGATAACTATACAATCTACTGTCTTTCCTAAGGCGACAGCCAAATCATCCACAAACAACATGGACCCGTTTGACATAACCACCTCACGCGCTTCCTGCAGTCTGCAGTCGTCCAATGACTCGGAAAGGATATTCAATCATATTACAGAAGTAAAATGGGTTGTGATTGATATTTTATGTTGACAAGTGTGTCGTAGGATTTGCATTTTGGTGTCTGAACAGGGTGAGGTAGTAGGTTGTATAGTTTGGTGGAAGGGATCAAACCCTGTTCAGGTGATAACTATACAGTCTATTGCCTTCCTTGTGGTACCAACTATCTGCACACTAGTTGAAACTCCCTGAAGTTTAAAGTTATCGTTACGGTTATCGTTCTTGGTGTGAACAGGACTTTAAAGGTGCATGTTTGTGTGCATTGTGAAACAGGCCTAACATTGTACCTAACAAGCCTGAACAACATCTGTGTGTCTGATGCAAGCTTAACATGCTGATCTAGCATGACATATGAAGAGACAAATCAGATTAAATGAGATTTACTGAGCTCAGATTTATGGCTTTATCAATAATTTAGCTTTTCTGTTGGCTTGTGATCAAACACTTTTCACACATCATAACAGGAAATTCAGTTTCAATCAGACAATACATATGGCCTTGTTCTGTGAATGAAAATATATATAAATGCACAATGTGCATATATGTTCTTGTTCTATGAATAAAATAGTTTTATTCTCAACACATTGACTTTCTTTTCATTTTAAGTTAAAGGGGTGGTAAAGTATGATTTCACTTTTCTAACTTTAGTTAGTGTGAAATGTTGCTGTTTGAGCATAAACAACATCTGCACAGTTACAACGCTCAAAGTTCAAATCAAAGGAAGATATTTGCTTTTAAAGAAAAGGACTACAACAAACGCCTGGTATGGACTAAACGACATTTCTCCCGGGTTAGTATGGAGCTAATAATATGACAAAATGATTTGAATTTGAATTGTGTAAATTTGAATTATTTGCAAGTGTAATCTAACAAAATTGAATTTTAGGTGGTAGTTTAAATAGTTCTGAATTTGATTTTTTTAAACGAATATTGAACATTTGAAATTTAACAAATTGAAAGGTTTTTATGGCTGAATTTTATAGACATGTATTTTCAAACAGCTAGTTTTTTTGTTCTGAATTCAAATACTGCAAATATTCAGTTTAAAAAAATACAGATTCAAGTTTTCAAGATGAAGAAATTCGGAACTTCAAATTCAGTTTTCTAAAATTCAATCTCAAAAATTCAAACTCAAAAATTCAGGTCTTACAGAAAGTAGGTCACAGGTCATCCACAGGGAAGAGTAGATGATCTCAGAAAAGTCGAACAGAGCATGTTGGTCCATTAGGGACTGCAGAAGGTTTCTTAAACATGAATGATTTTGTGTTTGTTAGCGTTCTCATCACGTGAGACATTTGTCTAAGCAGTCTCTGGAGTTTGTTTTAAAGTATATTTTGTGTAAAATTGATTAGAACGCCACTGTGTCACCTACAAAGACAGGACGCGAGCGGCGCGGCGCGACGCAACACAGTGCTTGAAGCGACTGTTGCAAAGAGCTGAGACTAGGTCACAAATAGGATGGGGAATCCGTGTGCTGTTGGGGATTTCACGGGTCGCGTCGCTCCGCTCGCGTCCGGTCTAGACTGCGTCGTACATGTAGCCTAGTAAGCATAAGGTACGAGTGTGAATTAGCCATTAAATGTCTTACAATAAGCCTACCTACCTAATGCAATTGTCCTTCAATATCTTCTCTACTGATTGATGACTGACTCAGTAATAAAGACGGTCTTTGCCGCCATCTAAAATTACAGGTGAAATATTTTAACTTATGCTGCTGTTCACGGCCAGGGACTATTTTTTTTTCAAGCGGAATGTAGGCTTTTGGTGATTTTATTCATGAAAGTTGCACTAATATATATATATATATATATATATATATATATATATATATATATATATTTTAACTTTAATATGATCATTGAGTGGTAATCGCTTTAGAAAACAATAAGGTACTCAAGGCTAGTGCTGTCTCGTGAATAAGTCACGTCTGACGGCCGTTTCACACCGCATGCGTGAGCAGCGCGTATTTCTTTCGGCGTGCATGAGTGCATCCACACCGGGAGCAGAAGAAGCGCGTGAGCGTCGAGCAGGAGCGGCGCGTGAGCAGCAGTGAAGCGGGGGTTTCGCAGGGGGTTTCGGCGTCGAATCTGTTTTTGCTGCACTTCTCCACGCTCAATTAAAGTAAATACACTTTTGATGGACAAAATTTCACACAAAAAGTGCCCAAAATGCACAGAATAAGCACGTCTAGTGAGTTTTAACAAGAACTTGAGTAGGCAAAAAAAAGAAGAAAATGAAGACTAAAAAATAGTTAGGCCTATAGAAGATTAGGCTACCTGTTTAAACTTGTTTTTAATTATTCAGTTTGGGTGAATATATATTTTATAAATATATATTATATTTAAAATAAATATAATGGTGTATTATATTTATTTTAAATATATATATATATATATATATATATATATATATATATATATATATATATATATATATTAATGGTGTATTATATATATACAAAAACTAGTGTAAACTAGCCAGAAAATATTATATATAATTTAAACTTTCTTTTAGTTTATGTAACACAGACAGCTACAACCCAAATTAAACCCAAGTGTGCGGTTTTGTGTGTGTGTTTTGTAGTCTTGTAAACATATCGAAAGTATGACTGAAACGAATAGATTGGAGCTGTTTTCTGGGTCGCTTTGTTGTTTAACATTTATGTGAATGTTGTACACCTCCCCATAACAAACTTTCAAGACTATCAATTTTATAGGCTAAATTACCAACTTCTAAAACTTCGTTGTAAAGAATTGCTCGCTTATATATGTAGCTTTGGAGCCGAGCTGCTGTGACTGTACAAAAGCTTCAAGTGTGAATACTCTCGCGCGTCTGCAGCTGCAGTGGCGATGTAGTTACGCTGACGCGCTGCTCAAGTGCCGCTCACGGATGCGGTGTGAAACGGCCGTGAAGCACTCCGGTTCGCGTCGTATTCACGATACAGCACACCCTCTCGTACCTTATGCTTAGGCCTACTTGTACGAACGACGCAGATCTAGACCGGACGCGAGCGGAGCGACGCGACCCGTGAAATCCCCAATAGCACACGGATTCCCCATCCTATTTGTGACCATTGCAACAGTCGCTTCAAGCACTGTGTTGCGTCGCGCCGCGCCGCTCGCGTCCTGTCTTTGTAGGTGACACAGTGGCGTTCTAATCAATTTTACACAAAATATACTTTAAAACAAACTCCAGAGACTGCTTAGACAAATGTCTCACGTGATGAGAACGCTAACAAACACAAAATCATTCATGTTTAAGAAACCTTCTGCAGTCCCTAATGGACCAAAATGCTCTGTTCGACTTTTCTGAGATCATCTACTCTTCCCTGTGGATGACCTGTGACCTACTTTCTGTAAGACCTGAATTTTTGAGTTTGAATTTTTGAGATTGAATTTTAGAAAACTGAATTTGAAGTTCCGAATTTCTTCATCTTGAAAACTTGAATCTGTATTTTTTTAAACTGAATATTTGCAGTATTTGAATTCAGAACAAAAAAACTAGCTGTTTGAAAATACATGTCTATAAAATTCAGCCATAAAAACCTTTCAATTTGTTAAATTTCAAATGTTCAATATTCGTTTAAAAAAATCAAATTCAGAACTATTTAAACTACCACCTAAAATTCAATTTTGTTAGATTACACTTGCAAATAATTCAAATTTACACAATTCAAATTCAAATCATTTTGTCATATTATTAGCTCCATAGGTTAGGGACATCAGCAACCCCAAAATTTACGTAAACCCCGCCCCCGGGAACACGCAGTCCATGTTGAGAAGAGGAAAAGTAGTTGTATAAGAGTACATTTGTGAGTCAGCTCAAACTTTAGCATCCACCTTTTCACATGCAATAGAAAGTCACTCTGTGTGCATCTCACAACAGTTCCTATACGAGCGATGTATAGATTATCCTGACAGAATATCCTAATTGAAGATAGTTAACTCCACATCAGCAACACAAATTCATCAACTAACCATTCAGAGACGTCCTGTTGCATTCTACATGTTGTCACTTCTTCTTGAGTCTCTCCATCTTTGACTGACTCTGTTTTAACATTAAAGGCAGAACAGTTTCTGTCATTTTAGTGTGTCTGCATGAGGTAATCGCAGCTGCCAACACACACGAGCTCTTGAAACCCCGCCCTCTGCAGCAGCTCATTTGCATTTAAAGGGCCAGGCACAAAACGGTGCGTTTTTGCAAACCCTTTAAAAAGTGACAACTTTAACATGCTATATAAAAATATCTGTGGGGTATTTTGTGCTAAAACTTCACACACACACACACACACACACACACACACACACACACACACACACACACACACACACACACACACACACACACACTCTCTCTCTCTCTCTGGGGACATCAGAGATTTATTTTACATCTTGTGAAAATGGCATTTTACCACCCCTTTAATGTTGAGCAGTATAGTTATTTTGTGTAAAGGCAGTTTTGTTAAGCAGAAGTTAGAACTTAACCGATACTGTATCTTTGTTGTGCAAACCTTATAAAAAGGTATCAAACAAACACAATGTATAACCATATAGTATTTTGTAGGCATCTACTGCAGTTTCAGAAGCCTTTATTTGCATAAAGGATCAGAGCTTTAGAAATCCTCCTAATCACGTAGTCTGTGAATGTGAATGCAAATAATTCTTGAACTATTTATAAAATATGGATTTATGGGTGAAAATTATATTTAAAAGTACATGGTAACTTTTAGCCTTTTTAGTGATTAAAAAAACAAAACTGCATGTATTTTACAGAAGAACATTGTTTTGGTTGTGCTTCGGCTCTGCGTGACTGTGCGGATGAATATGGTTATCTTACTGCTCATAAAACATTCACTACTCGGCTTAAGAGATAAAACCAGTTTAGATGGAAAGGATCTCAAGCTGACCAGCTGAAGACGTTACTGTAGCTTTACCCATTAATAGACACGGTACTTCCATGAAAATAAATTCCAGCACAGCGCTACAACAACCATAATGAAATGAGCCTTCACAATAGATAATGCTTTACAATGATCTCTGTTAGAGAGCTACATATGGCAATCTATCAGTTCAATAAAAACCTTACTCGCCTGTTGAGTAATAAAAACACCATCTCTGTATCGCTTTTACATTCCAAATCCCTAATTTCTCGCCATCTCTGAAAAGCCACGGCAATGTTGATTCTTGTTTTATTACGATCTGTCGCGGTCTCTTTTTGCTAGCAGACTCTCCTCTGTTCGGTGTTTGTTTAAAACGGCTGATTCCCCGGAGGATCGAGATTTAGCTGATCCATGTCAGGCTTTCTCGCTCGCTGTGACAACTAACCTAGGGTGCATTTCCCGTACAACGACATAAATCGATGCTTCACTATCATAGTACGATGAATCGTTGAATAAATCAACTAGCTAGTCACGACCGTTTCCCGACAACCATATGTCGCAAAGTAGTCGTTCAACCACATTGGTTTCTGACGTCA